TCATTTGAAATAATGTCATGAAACTGGTCACTGTGAAAACATGCAATATGAGGGGAAAGTTGGCCAGTTTGAACCAGTAATACCAGTCCCTGATGGCCTTAATCTGTGAGCTGTGTCATGGAATGATGCTGACAGAAACAAAAAGCTAATAGCTGCAGGTCAGGTGTGTTGTTAGGAAACAATCACGCCGAGCGGACACAGATTCCTTTCGCTTTGTTATTAAGAACAGCAAGAGGATCAGCTTATCCAGTGTTACTGTGCAGTTAGCATTGCATAGCCGTTACTATGTATCTAAATGCGTAAAACTGGTTGACCGGTTTGCCAGTTTTCCGTTCTCACATCTCCTTGAGTTTCCTCTCGCTGAAGCAAAAGGAACTCAAGCTAATGGTCTTTTGGCAAACGCCAACAAATGTCAACATGGAAACATGGACTCCCCTAAACCTGTCTTTTATTTTTGAGATGCAAATACTTTCACTTTCCCAGTCAGCCGAACAATGTCTATTTTTACCTGCCTTTCCTTCCCTTGATTATGAAAAAAAAAAATCACTGGAAAAGGTTCAGAACCAGGTCCAAACTATTAATTGTTTGTTGTGTATTAGTCGGGTGCTTAAATCTTGTCGTGTTAAAGGGGTCCTATTATGCTCTTTTACAAAGTCTTAATTTTTTTTGGGGGTGTGCTAGAACAGGCTCTCATACAAGGTTGTTCGAAAAACACATTATTTTTCCAGTAAAACAAGTGTATTCTCTTTTAATATATTTTAAAATGTAATTTATTCTTGTGATGCAGATCTAAAATTTCAGCATCATTATTCCAGTCTTCAGTGTCACATGATCCTTCAGAAATCATTATAATATACTGATTTGCTGCTCAAAAAAAAAAACCATTACTAAAAAAAATACATTATTATTATTAATGTTAAAATGGTTGTGCTGCCTAAAATGTCTTTGTCACTTTCAATTGAATCCATCCTTGCATAATAAAAGTATTAATTTCTTCCAAAAATAAATTTTTCCTCTGCTTGTTTGTTTATTGACAAGTTATTAAAATCCCAATAGTGTAGTGCAATTAAGATATAACTGAAATTGATAGCTTCTGTTGAATCTGATTGGTTAAAACAGCATTCCAACTGTCCTAAAACACATAATATACAGCTATGATGATTCACTATGCATATCCCATCCTAATGGATTGGTTTTATCAAGTAACAAAATGGAACAAGGCATTTAACGACATAAGCCCTATTCGCACGGGATTAGTTTTACCTGGTGACCTCCAGTCATTTGTAATAATTGCGGAGGTTGTCTGTGATCTTAATCCCGTGCGAATCGGCCATGTCTGTAATTTGTAAAGTAAAAATTCCCCCGCAAATGACCTACCATGTTTCGCCGAACACCGAGGTCCTGTGATAATATTAGTCCCGTGCGAATCGGCATCTCTGTGATTCGGCCAGCCAGTAAATTCGAGTAAAATCACAGGCTTCGCTTATCAGGTGCGAATGCACCACACGAAATTCAGATGTAGGGGGGTAATTTCAAAATCACACAAGGTCCCCAGATAATACTAATCCCGTGCGAACAGGGCTATAGACTCATTTCTTACTGCTTATTTACCATATTCAAATCAATTCGGCAGAATTTCTCCCCTTCATTCAGAGCAAAAAAAAAAAAAGTGCAGTGATTCTGTGTGAATCTAGTAACGTATTTCTTTTCTGTTCGGCTGATGCTAATGAGAGCAGCCGGGATCCTCGCTAACATGTTGAATTAATTGAGGTTCTGAGGGGAGGAAAATGTGGCTGCCGCCTCCTCTGTGATTACATAAAAAAAACTCAACAACAGCGCAGAGCAGCCAAAGTCTCTAGAGGCTGCAGTAATTAAGAGAGATCCTCCCGAACAGAGGCATCGTTAAGGCTGCTAATTGCCTGGAGAGCTAATGATGGGATAGATTTGCATTCCCTCGGACCAAACTCTCCAAGAATGCAGCGACATCCGTAGCCTCAACTGGGTCACGCTGGGTAGGAGAGACATGAGAGCGTGCGGGTTTATGTTTGTCCTGTGTATGGAGCCAATTTCAGGCTTTCACACACTTTCTCCTGTTGATATTAAATTCAGGACAGCGTGACACAGACGCTGACCTATCTACAGTGTTTACATGGGCAGATTCCTTCAATTCTTTCTTTAATTACATCATTATCAGGGGTGTATGAGCCATGTGGTCTTTTCAAAACATAGTTGGTTCTGTAAATGTGCAGTAAGGCTGGTATGGCACTATATGCTGAGTGAATGGTGTCAGCTGGTCATGCTAAGATTATGCTAAAATGTTTGTATTTCAGTAGATATATTTGTGCTATTATTATTATTATTATTATATGAATGATTTGCATGTGAGTGTAAGAATGCAAGAGAGGTGTTTTTCAAACGTTTTAGGAAGTAGTTATACTGTCTTTTAGATTGTGACCAAGTATTTAATTTAAGGATATTAATATGATGAAATATTTTCATGACTGATATTAAAATTCTAATACCATAATCAAAAATTTAGAATGACAATAAAATAAAATAAATAAATACAAATCAATGTAGGCATAACATAATAATTAACAGTATGAATAAACAGTATTATAAACAGTATAAAAATGAGTATTTATATTGAAATTAATTCATATTAAAATTCTATACTATTTTGTCTCAATTTAAAAAATTTTTTTTTTAAACAAGTCTTTTTAGGCATAGCATTATAATGTACAGTATGAAATTAATTCATAATAAAATACTATTTTGTCTAGAAAACAAAAAAATAAACTTAAATTAGTTTAAATATAAGTCAAATTAGACATAATATTATAATGTGCAGTATTTACATTAGAAGTTCATTCATTTTAAAATACTATTTTGTCTAAATTAAATAGTTTTTAAATAAGTCAAATTAGGCAAAACAATGAATGAAAAATTAAAATTCATTGATATTTGCTAAAGGTTATATTTACAGTAACAGTGTTATAAAAGTGTTTGCTATTAACTTTAGGTTAGCTTTGGATGGGAAATATAGTCTAAATGTAAAAATAAGAAATAAGCGTGAATAATTAAATATTCAATATAAAGTAATACCAATAAATTACAAAAAAACAAAATGTGTAATAATGGCCTGTAATCAATATTCTACCAATATATCATGCATCCCTGATTTAATTCTTGAATTTGTCAAAAATGGGAATTACCTAATGCCTGTTTAACATGCAAAACATTTTCAATAGAATTTCCAGCTAAATATTACCATGGAATTAAATGACATGGTTTTTCATATTGCCCCTAATGTACAATATAACATGCCTTTTTTCTTCTTCCCAAAGTAGGACTTTGTGGTAAGTTTGTGACTGAAAATAGTTCTGAAAATGTAAGAGTATGGTGGACCAGCCTTAAATGACTGGAGTCTTTTGATTAGGTGTAAACAGTGGCTTTTTCCCCCTCATTGTTGCATAAGTACATTGAGACTATCAAAGGTCAAATCAGGGTGAGTAAGCAGACCGACAGGGACAGATAAAGGCTGTAAACCTCAGTTCAGTATTGGAGGGAAAACAAACTGTCCACGCCCAAAAACAGTAGTTTTACATCGAATTTCTAATCTGAGATATTTACAGTAGCTATAAAAGTCATCACAAATCACATTCCAGAGCCCATGTGCTGACTGACAACAAAGCCGGTTCCCATACATCACTTGATCCTGACAGCGAACAGTTTTTGTTTTTGAAGTTTCCACCAGAGAGTCCAGGCATGTTTTAACTGTCAGGTAAATAGTTCATCAATAACTTAGTGGGACCTTGTACAAGGCTGCTGCAGGCCAAGGCTTCATTTGTGTCTTCAGTATCTTAAAAGGGACAGTACACCCAAAAAAAGAGAAAAGAGAAAATTCTGTTATCATTTAAGCACATATATAATTGTATCAGGCTGCAGATCACTGTCTGCACTCCCACTGATAGTCAATGCGTTTGCATCGCCAGTTGAATAATGTACCTGTCGCTCTTTTCCATGCAGTTGCAATGAATGACGACTGGAGCTTTTCAGCTTCTAAAAGCCTTCTAAAGCCATCAAAATTGTCTATATCCACAAAGCTATTAGTAAGCTGTATATTTCAAAAGGCTTGGAACATAACACGCAAGTCATATGGATCACTTACATTAAACTTTTGAGGCTTTTGCATCTTTTATGATGCTTGAAATTTTCAGTCTCCATTTATTGTAATTACATGTTAAAGAGCGACCAGCACAGTCTTGCTTGCACACGTAATGTATCTATTTATGTTCCACAGGTGAAAAAAACAAAACAAAGTTGTGCGTATTTGGAATGACACGAGGATGTGTAAATTAAAATATTTTTTGTTTGTTTTTTTTGGAGCTAGTTCTGGTAAGTTGCTCATTTCTTCCACAATTTTCTTTTAAGTAGTTTTAAGGAATATTTGTGTCACAGATAGACTGAAGTGATCTGATGAAGACTCTTTTATTTCAAGATGATTTGTTGGTTGACTGGATGCGTTTATATAACCTAGAAATGTACACACAAACTTAATTATTTATATATTACAATTTAACCATTTATTTACAGTGAGTGTAGTGAGTGCAGGAAATGAATGGGGAGTAGGGGACTGGGATTGGGAAATCAAGTTGCGTTACCTGTTCAATTACAGCCGTGACGCGTCAGTCTTTTAACGTGAAGTTTTAAAGTGTGAACCTGTCAGGGGGTTAAACTATAAAACCTCTTTATTTTGGCCTCAAGGCTTGACTGAAAAGCAAGATGTCTTGACCACTAAATCTTGTGGTGGTCTTGGTCGTGGTTTTTGTATGGAGCAGATGTGTCAGTAAACTCTAGGGTCTTCTTGCTCTTTCATTGTATTTTGTATATTCCAATAAAAAAAAAAAAACTCTAGGGTCTTCTACCCGGGTGCTCGTTGCCCTGGCCTGCACATATGTTAGTAATAAATGCTTGCACCACCGTTTACCGTGGTCTCAATGAGGTTCAGTGCATTTGAAGTGGGTACAGTGAACCATCACGGCTCCAAAGAGCTCATCATTATGAATGTCCAAGATTACTCAGATCTACACAATGGCTGGGTGTTTATTTATTTATTTAAATATTTGATATAGCTGCAATATTATTTTTTTGCTGTTAAAGTACTAGCATTGTGAATATTGTAATGATTTAATGCACTTTTATTTGGCCACCTTAAGATTTTTGAGTAGCTCAGTTGCAGATATCTTAAATGCTTAATATACATTTTTAATGTTGTAATACCTATTTTAAAAGCATTTGATTTAATTTCTGTGAATTAGTTATTTAAAATAGATTATACCCAATAATCTGTTTAAATTACTAATTCTAAACTGGTTTCTTTGTCTTTTTTTATTTTGCAACTGCGTCTGACTTTTTGATCAAAATGATGTCTCCTTTTGTTAAAAAATATAATCCTTTTTAGCAATTTCTTTCACTAATTTTCACATATTAGATGATATGCATACATTTATTGGAACATAAATAAGGGAAAGAGGGGGAAGAAAAGAGGGAAAGGGGGAAAAAAAACAATATACAGTCATGGCCAAAAGTTTTGGCAGTGACATAAATTTTGTGTTTTGCAACGTTTGCTGCTTAAGCTGTTGTGGTGTTCATTCAAATTGTTTCTAGATTATTGTGTAGAGTGATCAGATGCATTTTAAATAATTGCTAAAAGATTCATTGGCCAAAAAATTAACTTTTCACAAAAAAACTAATTTCACTGTTTTTTGATCCTGACACAAAATGACCAGCTAACATTAATTGATTAATCACATCAGCAGCACATGTGAAAGTGTGAATGAGTGCTAGTCAGGTGAAATCACTATCATCAGTGGTGGACGAAGTACACAAATCAAGTACTTGAGTAAAAGTACAAATCCGTATAATAAAATATTACTCCAGTAAAAGTACTCTGTTTTCAATTTTACTCGAGTGAAAGTACAAAAGTGCTTGATTTTTTTATATACTTAAGTAAAAAGTACCGATAGATGAATGTTTATTTTGCAGTTTTATATAGGCTACTTTTATAATTCTGACAAACAATATAAAAACGTCACATAGGGCTAAATGGATAGCATTTTAGTAAAACTGCTTACGTTACGGCAGCGGGGAAGATGAACGTGCATGAGTTATTTTATTGTCGCACGTGCGCTCACAAGATCTCCCGGTTCTTACTTGTGAATTCAGGTCACTGGAGACTCGCACTAAATGGTTCATTTGAATCAGTGAGTTGTCGACTCGAGAACAGCTGCAATCGGATCATTCTAATTATTGTGTGTCTCTGTAGCAACAGTTAATTGGCACTCGAGCAGGCCCTCAGACATGGCACCTCTGCCCCTTCGCTTTCAGCTAACATCAACAACAACAACAGTTGACTGGCATTCTGCAGGGCCTCTCTGTGCCGGGCTGTTTGTGTGTTTTGAGTCGAGCTGAGGTGTTGCTTTCCTCTTCTCCTACTAATGAGGTTGTGGCCTTATTGACTATTGAGTCTTGAGGGGATTCAAAGCTTTGCTCAACTAACAGCAGCCCCTGTCTAGTTGTTTTTAAGATTCCTGCCAACTTTAACACTACTATAAGTAATCCATTGGTGGGTTGATGCCGTAAGAAAAATCTGTGGTGTTATTAAAACATTGCTCTGTTTGACAGCAAAATTGACTCAACCAAGTTTGGGGCAGGACTTTTCAACCAAATGACAGATGAGAAAGTGTTCAGAAAACCTGTTTACAAACAGTCATATGTTTTGGCAATTAAATCCGCACACTGTATAACAAGTCGGAATACAAATTGAGTAAAGAGAGGCAATAAACATTACTAATAATTCAACAGACCATATCTATGTTAGCAAGCTTACATAATGTTTCTGTGAAGTTTAAATGAGCAGAACTGGTTAAACAATATTCCATTTATCACAGAAAACTAGGGGTGCTCCGATCAGGATTGTTGAGGCCGATCACAGAAAGCAGTATCTGCCGATACCAATCACCGATACCGATCTTTTAAAGCCTTCTTTTTATCATTTATAACTATTTATAGTGATACTCCAATCAGGATTTGTAGACATTTATTCAGGGCCTGAATTTCATTTTTGAAAATGGAGGGAATTCCCCTCTTAGGTGTCTCTTGTGAGAGGGGAAGCAGCACGGGCTGTGCTTTCACACAGGAGTCCGCTACTGATCCGTGGCAGTTTACCACAAACACAACATTTATCCATTATTTTGATTTCAAATCCAAACATTGTCACTGAAAATGCTTTTTCAGCATTGCAATTTCTTTTTTTTACAC